TGTTGAAGTAAGGTGGTAGATACAAACATGGTTCAACATTATACATGTGTTCTCTCCAATTATTTATGTTATCAAATTCCATAAGGAAAAAAAAATGCCCAAATTAGCTCTTTCTCAAATCTTTCTTAATGCTAACTACACCTATCCCATATCTACACAGATTTTTCTTATCCCTTCAAAGTTCTACCTATATCACTCATTTTTTAAAATATGTAGTTGGACACAATACCTTTATTTTATTTTTATGTGGTGCTGAGGATTGAACCCAGGGCTCCCAAGTGCTAGGCGAGTGCTTTACCGCTGAGCCACAACCTCAGCCCATGCTACTCATTTTTGACAATTACTACCTTACTTTGTTATTTCAAGTCTTCATCAACTCTATTTATCTATATACAAAAATAACCACAAAATACACTGCTATCAAGGAGCTAACAATCTTTCCTCAATGAAACCCAACTCATTCAACAATCCCACTTACCAAATATCCATTATAGACCAGATACTCTTCCTAATGCATGTGACAGAAATGCCAGGTCTCGGGCCTCAAAAAATTACAATATAGTAGAATTGCAGTTAGGTGATTTATAGTGTAGCAGAATGCAGTTAAATCTGTTATTTTTCTGCTGAAAAACTTGCTGGTTTACCATGCATGACAAATAAAATTAACTCCTTTACCTAGAATTCATTCATCCAAATGTGCCACCTTTCCAATTCCTGGTCCCTCCAAGTGTATTTCTCAATGTGCCTTTCCTTTTGCCAATTTCCTAAGCCTAGAAAAGTACCACAACCTCTCTGCAGATTTGAACCCCAACAATCCTTTTAAGGCTCATTTTCTACCTTGACGATGCATTCCCAGTCAGTACACTCTTCCTCCAAAATCCTACAACATAGCTTGTTTTTACCATTCCTTTAACAGTTAACAATTATGATACTTTGGACATCCTCCAAAATATTCAACATAATGCCTTGCCATATTTATTTTCAATTTACTTAATTACCTTCAGTATCTAATATGATTAACCCATGAATAAGCAAAGTGTCTTCTAGGCTTAATCTCCTAATTCCAACCTAGACAGTGATGTTAATAGCACTTTCAACTGTTCAACTGGAGGGTTTTAAGTAATTTCACTTCAGATCTGCAAAGTCCTATTGAATCCAAACAAAAACAAAAACAGAAAAACCCAAAACAAACAATGAAAGAACCAAAGAAAACAAATCAACTATAACCCTGAAGTGCTGGAAAAAACTCTGTGAAAGCTCTGAAAAGTGCTTATATAATTACTTCTGATTTGCCTCAAAAAATCAATTGTTATAAGTGTTAAATTACAGAGTTATTCCTGAATATCTCAAAGATTTTCTCCCATAGTGCTTTGGGGGAAAAAGGAACCCATTATTCCCTTAGGTAATAATTTGTTAGGGATAAAATATTTCCAAATATCTAACAGAAGACAGCACTACTCCGGCTGGGGTTGTGGCTCAGCGGTAGAGCCCTCACCTTGAACATGCGAGACCCTGCGTTTAATCCTCAGCACCACATAAAAATAAATAAGTGACATAATTTCAAAGAATCAAATCTTCAGGATCTGCCAACTACAACTAAAAAAAAAAAAAAAAAAGCACTACAGAGGGCTGGGGCTGTAGCTCAGTGGCAAAGCACTTGCCTCGTATGTGCAAGGCACTGGGTTCAATCCTTAGCACCACATAAAAATAAACAAATAAAATAAAGGCATTCTGTCCATCTACAGCTACAAAAAAAAAAAAAAAAAATTTAAAAAAGAAAGAAAGCACTACTATTGCACTTAACATATTGTCATTTAAGTAAGCATAAGCAGTTATGAACCTGTCTGTCCAATCAAACCTCAAGAACAGAAAATCAAGGACTGGACATCTTGTCTTACTCATCTTTGTATATCCTACATTTAAAAACCTGGCACACTGAGGGACTCAAGAAATGCTCTCAATTAATGAATGAATTCCACCTTAAGTTAGAACATGTTCAAAATGCTAATAGCCTGTTAAAAAGTAATGGAAAGAGGTTAAATAGTATATTCAAATGTCAACTACCTGTTAAAAAGTAATGGAATGCAGAAGTCACATGCATTTTGTATTGGCATTTTCTTTTTTCAGAATATTTCCATGGATGACATGTAAAGTATCCTAAGAAATTGGGCTGGGGATGGAGCCCAGTGGAGGAACCTTTGCTTAGCAGGCAGGAGGCCCTAGGTTGGATCTACAGTACCATACACACACCACAAAAAAGAGAGCCCACTTTATCCCAAGTTATATCAGTATTTTCCACTTTTTGGGTGGAACTACTTTGCTGCTATCTCATATCCTTCTCCTGTGTTCCTGCCTCAGTTTCAAGTGGGTCCTGCTTTTTTGATTACCATTCACCAACTAAAACAAACAAAAAACCCCAAAGAGTCAATGAGAGAATAATTATCAAAGAATCAAAGCTTCAGGATCTGAGTAAAGGAGGGTACATATTCCTTGAACCTGCCCCCAATATTCATAAATAATCATTCTTGAAATTAAATGGCACCATGAAAAAAAGTTAAAGGTGATTCACAAAAGTGATAAAAATCTCTATAATATATATATACATAAAACTAAGGCTATCTGAAACAACTTCTGTTATGCAATTGTCTTCTCATGTGTACTTTTTTTTAAAGGAGTACATATTAAGATATTGATTCTGGGGAAAAAAATGACAGAATTAGCAGACTAACAAAAATGGAGCATTCACAACCTCACATACAAAGCTGTAAGATTAGGATGGTGATAAAGGGAACATTCTTCTGAAATAGCTTAGAGGTAATAAAATATTGTTCAGTTTACTAGAAGGAAATGCTGACAAAAATATGAGTTATTTATATTCTAGTTCTCTCATACATTATGGCTCCAGAAATATATAAAGCAGCTTGGAAAAAGAGGGAAATAATACCAGTCTCACCTCTCCAATGACATTAAGTGTTTAAAACACCCTTGATTTGACTTAAATATATGAGTTTACCAATAATCTGAACATCATTAAGCTGATTTTAAAATAGCCAAAAGAAAAAAAAAAAAATCTAACAAGCAGGTATACCTTTTAACTCTTTCACTTCTCCAAATTTCAAAGCATTCCAAATATTAACATGGTTAAAGAATACTTTGTTCCTGAAACAGCATGATGTTCTTTAAAAGGATGACATGTTTTTAAAAAGTCATTGTCTTTTGACCCAACAACCTACCTCTAAAGATAATCAGAAATAAAAACACTTGTAAGAAAGAATGTTTACAGAAACTTTGTCATACTGAAAAACCAGAAGCAACATAAAACTCCATTTAAAAAACAGGTTATAGAACAGCATATAAAACTGCACACATATATATGTACACAAAATTCAAAAATATCTTTGGATTAACTGAGTGCTGGGAGTTTGCCAGATTTTCACACTTGATCTGAAAAAGAATTTCTGAAAATTATGATTTTGTATATTTTTACAATTAACCTTTAAAACAAACCAAAAAAAGATCATATTATCTTCAATAAATATGCTTATTTACTAATGTAGGGCCCCAAAATTAACCTCTCTGAAAGGCAACCCAACACTATCACAATTATAAATACATCACTTTGATTCAGCAATTCCAAATACAGGTATTTATACTACAGCTATTCTCACACAAGTGTGTGAAGACACATTTTTGTTCAAGAATGTTCACAGCAACATTGTTTATATTAAAACAGTATGGAGTATGACCTAAATGTCTATTAATAGAGACTAGATAAATTATGTACATTCATACAATTAAATACTGTATACCTGTGAAAGAAGATTAAGGTAGCTATGTGTGTTGGAGATGAATAACAGCCAAGATAAATTGTGGTTTTAGAAAATAAAGACAGAATCATATGCATCAACAGTGAGTAGAAAAGAGAGGAAAGGGATGTACAGACCAGTATACTTGTAGATGCATAGACTATCTAGAAGGACAAAGCAAATAGTGGTTTCCTGTGTGTTGGAGATCTAGAAATCAGGAGTAATAACACTTATTTTTTCACTGTAAACACTGTAATCCACTTTGTATTATTTGAAATATTTAACATGCTTTTATGCTACTTTTAAATTCTAAGAGCTTTTCAAAATTAGGTAGTGAATTACTCTGTTGTTGAATAGAATTATTTAAGGAAAATACAGTTTTCAAGAATCAAAATTATTCTAAGAAAAATAGTTGCTTTTAAGGGTTTAAAGAATTCTAAATTATCACTCCTTGTGGCTTATTAAAATAGATGAAAATTAAACACAATTGTTTAATGTTCAGCTCTTCTCTGAACAAAGGTCTTTACATTGTTGCTAGTCAACAAATTCACATTTAACAGTCTTGTTTTGCTCCCTCAGTACTGAAGCAGTTTTTAAAAATCTGTTTTCTTTTGCTATATTTAACATATGTTCTACATAAAAGGATTTCCTATTGACCACAAATAAATGTGGAATCAGGGAATAGATATTAGCCTTTTCCACTGATATTAATCCTTTCATGTCAGTTTGGCCTAGCCTTCCCTGACAAGAGTAACAAATGAAATGCCTACCTAGAACAAACACAATGATGACTCACTAACTATAGTAGTTTCTACGCCAAGGTTGTTCTTAAAAATAAAAAATAAAAAGCTTGAGAAAATGCTATTACCTTTAACTACAGTTCCAAACAGATTAAATTATAGACCTAAAGGCTTAGATCAATTACCATTAACATGCTCTGTAACTGTGGGGAAAAAATTCTTTGGAATTTACTCCAAATTAAAGAATATACTGCTTAACATAGTGACAGGTCTTTTTTCACACTTGTTCAATATATTATCTAATATTAGAGAAACACTAAACAAGGTAATACTAGAAGAGTTACCTAATCGAAAAAGGTCTGTGTTGGCTAACTCAACACCAATGCTTATAATTATGTATCAAACTTCCTTAAAATAAGTGTTAGACACATTAAAAAATTAAAAATAAACTCACCTTTAACACTTTTTCTATTAACATCTGCCCCCTTTTCAAGTAAATACTGAGCAATCTCTTTATGTCCTTTGTAACATGAAATCATCAAGCAGGTATGCCCATGCCGGTTTGACACTTCCAAATCAGCTTTGTGTTCTACAAGGTACTTCACTATTTCCAAGTGGCCATCAAAACATGCAGCTCGAAGAGGAGTTGAATTGGTTAGAGTCGTGTTGTTGACAGATGCTCCATGATTTAACAAAGATTGGACCACCTTCAGATGCCCTGCTGCAGAAGCCGCCCATAAAGGGGGAGCCCCCTCAATGGTTTCGCCATCAAAGTTGACAGAACCCCCGACTTCTATGGAGGCACTGCACTGCTCTAGGAGAAATTCCACCATGTCGAGATGCCCATACCTGGCAGCCATCAAGAGTGGCGTGGCCCCATTTGTTTTTTCAGAGATCAAGGAGGAAACCTCCTCTTTAGATTTGCTTGCCAACAACTTGGTGAGAAGCCGGAGTTTGCCATCCCGCGCTGCGTTAAACACCGCTGTCTTTAGATCCATTTATGTCCAGTTGAGAGGCTGTGCTTTATCCTTCAAAGTAAAGCTCCGGCTTAGCTCTCTTGCAGGCAAGAGTTACAGGAACCAAAGTTCAATGTTAGTCACTGCACCCCAGAACGGATATAAACCCACGGAGAGTATGTTTTGTCCTATTGCCTTCCAACATCTGATAACCAGAGCACCAAACTAGAGAAAGAAAAAAAAAAGTAGCAGTTTTGAATTTTCCATAGGTAAAGGGAAAAACACTAGATTTTCTTAATTTCTAACTAGTGTGGGAAGAAACGGAGGGTGGGGGTGTGAGCCGTACGTTAGAGGCTAGTCCGCCCCCCCCCCATACACACATACACACACACGTGGGAAAGGAAAATACAAAAGGGTTCATAGGAGACCCAAATGTTTTGGTGGGAGGCCCTCTCTCTTCTGTGTGCGGAAAATTTAAATACTACAGGCAACTGGTTTTCGTCTCTAGTTCTCACCAGCCAAGCTTTGTTCTAGTTTTGCTTTGCACACACCCAAGGAAAGTACAACCGAGACAAGGAGACAGACAGGTTCAGAAATGTTTCTTTTGCTTGCATTTGCAGAGAGGGGGCCAAGGGCGCCAGGCTGGAAGGCCTCATTGTGGTTGGGATGGGTTTCGAAAAGGAACAAAAAGGTCGGGCACACCAGTTGTTGGGCAGCTAACACCAAAGCCCTCACTCCAAGGTTTTCTTTCCTTTAAAACTCGACGGTCTCAGGAAATCCGGCTGCGTTTTAGCCATTAAGTTCGCCCGCCTCATTTTGCGTACCCCCCCCCCCTCAAGGATCTGCGAGTTCCCCAAACCACAATCGCCCCTAGATAACCAGCGCAGTACCTTTTCCAGACACCGAGAACTCTTCCCTAAACTGCGCGATCGATCACGACCCCCTCCCGGGGTCTGACCACCCCGTGGCCTCCAGCCTGCCGCCCGCCTGCCGCTCCCGGGGGCGCCCTCCTTCCCGCCCAGGCCTCCCAGCGGGCGCTCAGGCCGCGGCCCGGGCCCTGGCAGGCCGCCGCCGCCGCCGCCGCCGCCACTACCTGCCCGGGGGCTAGTCCTTCCAGCTGCCGCTGGCCGCTCGGGCTCGGGCCGCCCCCTTTAAATGGAAACCGTTGTCCCCGCCGCCGCCCGGGCCGCCCTGCTCCGCCTGCGGCCGCACAGTTCCTCCATGCCCCGCGCCCCAGAGGAATGAATCCGGCCGCGCTGCTCGCCCCGCCCCGCCGAGCTGCCTCCCGCCCTCCCAGCCTGCTCGGGCTGTAGCGGCTGCAGCGGCTGCCGCGGCGGATGGTGTAATGGGCTGCGGGCCGGGGGCCGGACAAGCCAGAGCAAAGCTTCACATCACTGACGCGGCAGCCGCGCCATTGGGCCGGGGGAGGGCGGCGGCCGCCGCGAGCAACCGCCTAGGGGCGGGGCGGGGCGCCGTGGGAGGGGGAGGGACCTTGAGCTCTGCGAAGGACGTGTCTGCGTGCTGGGGGCGGGACGCCGTGAGGGGGCGGGGCCGTGCCGCAGCGGCCCGAGGTAGACGGAGAAACAGTGGAAATATCGCGTGCTCCCCACTTCTTACTCCACCTCTCTGCTTTTCCCTACGCTGGCTTTGGGGATGCTGGGCGCGGTCTCAGGGCGCTGGGAGAAGTAGCATCCAGTTATACTTTCCTACTCATCTGAACACTCTCAGGGTAGTCTCTTCGCTGCTTTCTTTTGGTGGTCCCTGAATAAACCCAGCTCATAATTACACGTCAAAACACTCAAGACAAATTTCAGAAAATGAGATTAGCTTTGAAAGCTACCAAACATGACTGATTTTTTTTTAAATATGGTCTCTGAAAAATATAAAGACTATAAGGAATCGTAAAACCTAAGAGCAGTATAAATTCAACAAGGTCTAGTCCTTAAATTCTAAATAATAAAACTATGAAATGAAAGATAAAAAGTGTACACTGATGAAAGAAATTACTACTTAATACAGCAGGAAATAAACTGGAATTCGTGACGTTAAGACCTGGAATGTACGGTATTAAACAAGGATGAAGAAGAATTGAAATATGTTAGGGGAATAACAACCCACAATGTATCGTGAGAAAACCATTTTTGAAAACGGACCTTCAATTTCTTGAACACTGTCTGGTGGGATTTAAATTCACAACGTTCCGTAGTACCGCTGGGAAAAAGAATATTAGAGTAGACAGACCTTCAGCATCATCAATATGATCATCTTTCTGTTAGAAGCCATGCAACACTAAACACATTTTACTTTAAAAATCACAACTCCATTTTTGTATATTATAGTATTATCTAGGAATTTATGTAGTTTTACATAGTTGAATCATGATTTTCACACAGATATGTATTTTGCTTTTTAACCTTGGCACCCTAGATATTTCTCATGTTTTAATGGTCTTATCACAGTAGTGAGTTTTTAGTGAAGCACAATATTTCCCTTAGGAAATATTAGCCATATATACACTCAGCATCAAATTGTCCAAATTGAAGTTGAGGTTACTACCACTAAGAAGAAAACATGAAAGAATATAGTATAAAGGATGAGATCAACCACCTAATGAAATTAAACCACCAAGAGGACTAGCTGTTTTATCCCCATCATACAGGTGACAGTTCTATATTCCTAGGGTATAGCTGTAGGGTATTGATTTAACATTGGAGCAGCCATCTTAAATGTTAACCACCATCTTATGAGGTAAGTTTCACTTTCCTGTACTTCCTCTTTCCTGAACTCCCCTCATCCCCATTAGTGACCTACCCCATGGTATCATAACCTTAAGCCAATCCTGGAAGGACAGGACTCTTTTGCTCCAAAAGCCCCATGGTGCCATCAACCTAAGCCAATCCCATGCTATTCCCCACCTGCCTAGCTCTGAGGCAAGCACCCCTGAGCCTATCCCATAATACCACAACCACAACTGCAAACCCCTACCCTGCAAAAGCTGAATACCTGAACATCTCAGGGCCCTCTCTGCTCTCTATAGAGAGATGGCCTTTATTTGTCAGCTTTGACAAACTTCTGTGGATCTCTGCCCGTTCTTCTTCCTTCATTTCTCCCTTGTGCATCTCTTGCTTTCTCACTTTTCTTTCAATAGCTACCAGGTGTGGTGTCCCAATGGAAGCCTAACCTGAGTTGATGTCTCTCTTTCATCTAATTCTGTAAGATGATGTAAAAATTTATATTGTTGGTCTTCAAATTGAGGTGTGTATCCTCCATTGGATTTTCAAGGAATAGGTGAACATATTTTCTAATCTCCAACTTAAACACCTAATATTCTTTTCTAAAATCCATTGCTGGTAAGGCGAAGGTAATTTGTTGATTCATTTCCCAACTCTTTCACAACAGCTGTGTCTTTCTCGATTTACAAAAAGAAAAGCTTTCACTCATAGAGAGTCTCAAAATGATGCGCCACTCTGTGATGTAAAGACTTCAGGGAATCTTTGCCAGTTCTTTATGGATTTAAAATACTGAGCTGTATTGAGAAATTATATACTTCGAATAGCTGGGTTACAAATTCTCTTGCAAGTCACATGCTTTCCAAATAACTGCTTTCAGCAGAGTATGACCTAATGATCACTAAGTGTAAAGTGAAAGAGTTCAAAGAATTGAGTGACATTGATATACAAACAGAAATCCTTATAGACTTTTTTCTTTTTTTTTCTTTTAAGTTATAGATGAACAAATACTTTTATTTTATTAGTTTTATGTGGTGCTGAGGATCGAACCCATTGCCTCACACATGCTAGGCAAGCGCTCAGCCACTGAGCTACAACCCCAGTCCTAGACTTATTTATTAATGTGAAAACACTTTCTCAGAATTTATAAACATGAAAAATTAAGAGAGCATTGATGCTGAACTGTTTCATTCTAGTAAGAAGTAGTATTTAACCATAAATGCCTGCACTAATTGTAAAAAAATCACATTTAATAATTATAAAATTTATGGGGCCAGGGTCGGAGGCTCAGTGGTAGAGCGCTTGCCTAGCATGTGTGTGAAGCACTGGGTTTGATCCCCGGCACCACATAAAAATAAAAAAAATAAAAATAAAAGTATTGTGTCCATCTACAGCTAAAAAATTTTTTTTAATTATAAAAATTTGTAATATATTTTGTATTATTCTGGATACTTGATTATTATAATAAGTGTAACGATGCCTCAGTCTAGAAGAAAATATTTAAGTACTTATATTCTTACGTCATAGAAAATTCAAAAATTTTAAATGTGTTTTCACTGCGGAGATATAATACTATGAGTGATAAAAAAAATTTAAAATAAAGATACATTAATTAGGATTTACTCCTGAGGGATGGAGAGATGAAAAAGAATTATGGGCATAAAGAGAAAAATAAATTGTGTAAACTATCCTATAAGTTTGCTCATATATTTTTAAATGGTTGATAAAAAGCATAATTACTATGATTTAGACTCATTTATAAGTACAACTGTTTTGCTTTTAAATTTTTAAAATATGTGGGAAATAGCACCATTTGCAACTACTTAAACTTAGAATTAAATTTATTTAGATGTCAGTAGAGAATATGCAAAAAGGTAGCTGTTGTATGTGTGGACAGAAATATTTGAAGACCTCTGATTTATTTATCAACCATCTTTGGAAGTTGTTTCCTTTTCCAAAGATTGTGGCAATGTTTGTTCTTCACATTTTTTTTTTAATTTCTTTTATTTCTTTTTTTACTTACAGAGAAACTTAACTAAATTTTCTTTTACTTTTATTCTGAAAGTCCTTTCACTGGGTTTCTAAATATCCATTCTTCCCTATACCATGACTCTAAGTCCAGAGGAGACACTACCCCATCCCTGAGAAGGTAGTTGGGTGGAGGAATTGGATCAGCAAAGAGTGGACAACCTTATTACTAAAATAAACATATTCAGGTATCTAAGTGTTTTTCTTCTTCTCACACTTAGCCTTGGGATAAGTTTCCAAGAACTGAATTACACATGTACTTTTTGATCATGAACAAAATGTACATATATATTACATATATATAAAATCTATATTTGTACGTATGTACGTGTGTGTGTATAATATTTTTTTTTTTCATACTGCTTCCTGAAGAGTTAGACCAGTCTGGCGTATAACGAACAAAAGAGTGTCAGCTTTACCAAAACCTTACCCAATTTAAGGTGTGTTTTAAAATTCTGGCTAGTTTCACATGTATAAAATGGTATGACAAAGTTTCCAAAATTTGCCTGTTCACCCTTTGATTTTTTTAATGTAATTTCCTGTAATTAGTAGAATATTTCATCTACATTATTCCTTCTGAGAATTTTCAGTTGTTTAGTTCCTGCCAGTCTATGTTTAACCCAGAATCGTCAGTGAAATAGTCTGTTTGCATGGTTTTGGTAAACTTTGTTAACTTGGTCTAGTTTGAAGAAAAGTCAGAATTAATTTTTCAAAAAATACTTCTAGTTTTGAGTAACTAACTGAAAAACAGTTCAAGTTAGAAGAGCATGAACTACTTTCCTCCTTTTGAGAAACTGATAGTCTGTGGGAGATTTGCAGCTATAAACAGAATAGAGCAAACTATGTATCTAAACAACAGTGAGAGCCCAAAGTACAGAGCTGCTAACTCTGGCTAAGTCTGAGAAGGAGGTGATGGTTAAAATGAATCTTAAAGGATTTGTGAGAGTAGCCCAGCCAAGAGGCAATAGGAAAAAGAGGAAACACTACTGAGAAAGCAGGGTGTTGAAAGAAGCCATGGGGTGGCCCCTTCATTCTTTTCCTTCTCTGCCAGTTACAGAGTGGTACCCTAAGCTACCTTTTGAATGTACAGAAATCCCCACTTCCCTGCATCAAGTGCATCCTAATACACCACTTCTTATCTCTGCAGCATAAGCATCCTTCATATTATCTCATTGCCACTGCTCTCTCAGAGGTTTAAGGAGTGCTGATTAAGGTTATCTTCATAAAGCCAGAATAGCTTTCTGGGGTACAAGCATTTTTAGTAGGAAACTTGTGAACCCAAATGAATCTTAAAATTTAGAAATATTCAGGGCAGTGTTTGTTTAGCAGGGACACATCTAGGGTCCCCTTGGGTATTTTGGTCTAGTCTCTACTTCCCTGAATGATATAAGATAAAGAGGCAGTAAATTGGTTAGCAAATTCTAATTATTTTCTCTCGGCACAGTCTACCTTTTTGGTATGGTGCTATTATTTTATTCATCATATCATTACAAGCTATAAATCTTTTTTTTTCCTTTTTGTTGGTAGAGGGGATTGGACCCAGGGATGTTTAATCACTGAGCCACATCCCTAGCCCTTTTTATCTTTTGAGACAAGGTCTCATTAAATTGTTTAGGGCCTCACTAAATTGCTGAGATTTGCCTCAAATTTGTAATCCTCCTGCCTCAGCCTTGGCAATTGCTGGGAATATAGGCTTTCTCCATCACACCCA